TCAGCAAGCAAGGTTGTATCATCTGCATATAGCAGGTTGTTAATGTGTCTTTCTCCAATCCAGATACCACGTTTTTTTCATATAACACAGCTTCTCAGATTATTTGCTCAGCATACAGTTTGAATAAGTATGGTAAAAGAACACAACCTTGTCGCACACCTTTTTAAATTTTAAAACATCCAGTGTTCCCATGTTCCAGTCAAACAACTGCCTTTTGGTTCAGGTACAGATTGCTCATGAACACAATTAAGTGTTCTGGAATACGCATACTTTGCAATGTTGTCCATAACTTGTTATGATCCACACAATCAAAAGCCTTTGCATAGTCAATAAAGCACAGGTAAACATCTTTCCAATAGTCTCTGCTTTCAGCCAACATCCACCAGACATCAACAATGATATCCCTCATTCCACGGCCTCTTCTGAATCCGGCTTGAGCCTCTGGAAGTTCTCTCTCTCATGGGATAACAAAGAGATTGTCCGATGATATCCGCATTCCATTGGGTCACCTCTCTTTGGAATGGGCACAAATATGGATTTCTTCCAATTGGTCAGCCAGATAGTTGTCTTCCAAATTTCTTGGCAGAGTTGAGTGAGTGCCTCCCGTGCCGCCTCACTTCCTTGAAAGATTTCAATTTTTTTCCCATCAATTCTTGGTGCCTTGTTCTTTGCCAATTCCTTCAATGCACCTTGGACTTCCTCTGTAAGTATCATTGGCTCTTGATCATATGCTACCTCTTGAAATGGTTAAACATTAACCATTTCCTTTTGGTAGAGTGACTCTGTGTATTCCTTCCATCTTCTCTTGATGCTTTCTGCATCATTCAATAATTTTCCCAGAGAATCTTCCAATAATAAAAGTTGAGACTTGAATTTTTTCTTCAGTTCCCCCAGTTTGAGAAATGCTGAGCGTATTCTTACTTTTTGGTTTTCTGATTCCAGATCTTTGCACATTTTATTGTAAAATTGGCTTTATCTTCTCGAGCTGATCTTTGAAATTTTCTGTTTAGCTCTTGGACCTCATCATTTCTTCCATTTCCTTTAGCATCTCTATGCTGGAGAACAAGATTCAATGTCTCTCCTGACATCCATTTTGACCTTTTCCTTCTTTCTTGTCTTCTCAATGACTTTTTTTTTTCTTCATATATCATGTTCTTGATGTCATCCCACAACTCTTCTGGTCTTCGGTCTTTAGTGTTTAATGTATCAAATCTGTTCTTCAGATGGTCTCTAAATTCAGGTGGGATATATTCAAGGTCCTATTTTGGCTCTCATGGACTTCTTTTCATTTTCTTCAGCTTCAGTTTGAATTTGCATATGAATAATTGATGGTCTGTTCCACAGTCTGCCCCTGGCCTTGTTTTCACTGGTGATATAGAGCTTTTCCATAGTCTCTTTCCACAGATGTAGTCAGTTTGATCTCTAAATATTCCATATGGTGAATTCCATGTGTATAGTTGTCTCTTAAGTTGTCTACAGAAGGGATTTGAAATGAACAAATCATTGGTTTTGAAGAATTCTATCATGTGTTCTCCAGCATCATTTCTGTCACCAAGGCAACATTTGCCAACTACTGATCCTTCCTCTTTGCTCCCAACCTTTGCATTCCAATCACCAGAAATGATCAAATGTCTTGATTGCATATTTGATCAGTTTCAGATTTAAGAAGTTGGTAGAATTCTTCTATTTCATCCTCACTGACTTTAGTGGTTGGTGCATAAATTTGAGTAATGGTGGTATTAACTGGGCTT